CTCTCTCTCTCTCTCTCTCTCTCTCTCTCTCTCTCTCTCTCTCTCTCTCTCTCTCTCACCCTGGCGGATCTGGGAGCCTGTCTTGGCAGTTTAGAGTGGGGACCAGGGCAATTGGAAAAGTCTCCCTCGCCTCTGGAGAGGTAGGGGGCCAGGCCACTCCTTTATGAAGTTACTTTTTAAGTAAAGGTTCAAAATAAATCCAAATGTTTTTCTGCAAAGAGCTTCCAAACCCGAAGGGGGTCCAGGAATGTAAAACTCGGGGCCCAGATTGGCAAACCTGAAGCGGGCGAATGTTTTATGCACAAACGTGGCTCTGGAAGCACCCCTCTGACCTTGGCGAGGCCCCGATTTCCCCAAGTCTTTATCTTCGGCCCCAGGCGGTTCCTCCGACCCACTTTTCACTCTACTCCCGTTCCCAACAGGCAGCCACTGCCAACCCTTCTTGGGCTCAGCGCTGCCCCGTCCGAAAGTGCTCTCGGCTGCCCAGAATCGGCCCCAGAAAACTCAGCTTCTCCTTTGTTCCCCTCCCCCCTCGCCCTCGCTCCCACCCTCTCTGCTTCGCGGCGTCTCTGCACGGTTTGGCCAGTGCCGCCTAGCCCGCTTCCCCGTGCTCTGCAGCTGCCCCCGCGTCCCGGATGCGGCGCTCCTACCCACCGGATTGCCTTGGGGACCCTCGGTTCTGAGTCTTCGGCAGCGTGGCGCCGTGAGCGAGGCGCACAGGATCCCCCCAGGCCCGCCACATCTACGCATTTAGAAGCCGGGTAGGCCTGCAGTCGAAGATGCTCAGAGGAGGAGGAAGTGGCGAGAAAAAGAAGGCTGAAAAACAAACAACCCCCCCCCCCAAACAAAAAACCCACCCCTAACATAAAGCACCAAAACCAACACTGAGGCTGGACTGTTTCGGTTTCACACGAAGCGACCTGGTGTATCTGGAGAAGGTTTTGAAGACGTTTAGGAGGCAGGGTGAGCTTTCTGCTGAGAAACTCAATCTGCCATACAGTAGCGGCCCCATCTGGGAACTGTCACTGCTGACAGCACCATAGGGCACAGCGTGATCTTCCGCACAGCCTCACTCCCCGAAATACCCTCCTTAATCAAAGGGTGTCTGCGCTGGAGCAGAGCTGACCGCGTGAGCAGAAGGGCCTGTGGATTCCACCCCGGCCCGCCCCTCCCCACGCACAGCACACAGCCCCAGCCCCTGTCTCCCCGGCACCTTAATTAAAAACGGAAGAGAGACAGGCTGATGTCATTGCTCTCAGGAGATCATAAACGTAAAAGAGTCATCCTGTGAGAATCCCCGAAAATGACTTTAATGAATAATTTCAGAGACAGTTATGGCTTTGGGTGATTACTGAGCGAGAATATGAAAACCAGATTTGCTAGAGAAGGCGATGGTCAGCCACTTTCCTCCATTAAAACCACACTGCTTTCCTTCTTTCCCCAAGGCTTAGTTACTCATTGCATTTTCAGGTTTCTTCTTTAAAAAAACAAAAGCAACAAACACCCCCCCTCCCCCCTCCCGCATTTCTGCTTAGTCCTGAAGACAAAAATGTCAGCTCTAGACAATGACAATAATAACTCACTTCAAATGGAAGGCAGTTATGCTGCCCTGGTCAATATCCATTGGCTTCCATCTTTTTACAAAGGATGGATTTATTGTCATCTTAATTTAGAATATCTTTTTTGGCTTCTCCTGTAGGCAATCTAAATAATTAAGTTTGCAAACTCTGCTCCTAAGTGCACTGTTTGGTCTAAATCACTTTAGCTGGCAGGACAGCAGAGGACCAAATAACTTGCTTTTACAGAGAAATCTGCAGGTCTCTCTGATTCTTCAGTTCTTGGTCACCAATGGATTAAAGATGGTTTAGTGTTAGAACAAGGAATGGTATTTTGAAGCACCCCATTTGGTCATGATGGCGGTTGGTTTCTTATGTTGTTGTGGATTTAAAAATACATTTTATATATTTTAAATACTATTTGAGAAAACAGCTAGGGTATAGGTTGGGGAAAGGGACTGGTGAGTACCTTCTGATCCTTTACAAAAATGATTTACTTGCCTGCAAGTCTGTCTTCTTTGCCTGAAAATATAAACAGGCTTTCTGAGCCTGTGACCCATCTTGATTTATCCCATCTAATTCAATTAAAAGTTCACATATACTCTGAGCCTGAAAGTATTATGGCAGAAGTGATGTGGGTTTTCTTGTTTTGAGTTGGTTTGAATGACTCAGAAAACTGGTTATTCATCTTCACAGACCCCCTAAGGCAGCACTATGGAAGATGGCCATTGTCTGTCCTCCATCTAGAAGCACAGATAGACCTGGTCCTCCAGTCATTAAGAATATTATCTAAAGCCAGGGATTTAGCTCAGTGGTTTCGCCGCTTGCTGCGCAAGCACAAGGACCTGAGTTCAATCCCCGGTACAAAAAAAAAAAAAAAGAATATTATCTAAAAACCTTATTCCTTATCCCTAGCCCCAAACCATAGGGCTCAAGGTTTCTTTTCCCCTTTGTCTGAAGATATAGATGGGTAGGAGGAGAAAGCCACACTATCATGTAACATTTTCCCTGAGTTAGGGAGAAATGTCCCTTTCTGTCTTAGATTACATGGACATACTTTGACATTTGGTGTATAGTGTAGCCTGGAAAAATTGAAACAAAGAGAACTCTGGGGAATTTTTCACTGTTGGGTTCCCAGTTTAGTTTTAATACTCTTGGGTTACAAAATAAATTTTGTCATTCTACTGAAATAACGAGGCTGTCTTCTTTTCCCTCTAGGCACATTCACTGTCACTTCTGACTGAACACCCCTCGCTTGGCTTTTTTTGGTCCCTGTGGGAATAAATTGCATGCTAGGCAAAACCACCACTGAGCTACACCTCTAGCTGTCTGGATTTGCTTTGAATTTTTGCATTGCCCAATTCCATCGAGGTGTATAGCTCATGCATGATAGAGCAAATTCTCTTCCTGTAGAGACTTTAAATAATGCAGACCTTGCCCCACTCCTCACTTATTCTTGATAATGTCACTCCTATCCCCCTATCCACAGGGTTCAGTGTTTCACATCCGTCAGAGAAAGCATGCCAAAGTGGAGGGCCAATTGCTGCAGGTGGGTGTGGCTTCAGCCAGGGGTTCTGGAATCCTCTGTGTTAGCTTTTGAAAATCAGTCTTTAGAATCAAGTCCCAGACCTGCAGAGTCAGAAAATCTGGTGAAGCTGGGGTGAAGTAGGGCTGGATTTGTAATTTCCCTGGGGAGTGGGAAGCCCTTACCCCAAGGGTTTGAGGTTCATCCCAGCACCCCTAATTCCACCAGAAACCAGGCGAGCCCACAGGGCGCCAGGGTCAGAGGCCCAGGGCATCTGACAGTTCATCCAGGAATTATGCGCACATAGCTGATCTGAATTCTGAACACTACAGCACGGTATAGGATAAAGCTTCCTGCAAGCATGCTCTCCCTCCAGAAGTGTTAGACAGCAACTCATAGATCCATTAGGTTTCAATAGCAGGTGCAATGACACTATGTTCTATAATCAGCTGCTGCCAGCCCTCTCCACAAGGCAGAAGATCCCACTATTTGCATGAAGGCTATAGGGGCCAACGGGTGTCCAGGTGGGGCAGGTAGACCTGGGAGCTGTCTTAAGAGCAGCCTGACCCCGTGAAGGCCAGCTCCCCACCCTCAGCGCGACTGTCACTGCCTCCCAGGCTGCAGCTCTTGATGTAGGAGAGCAGTGCCCAGGCTCAGGGATAGCAAAAAAGCTCATCAGTCCCGGAGCTGGGCGGTTTCTTCCAAGAGTAATGCAGGAAACTTAGCCGGTTGGAAAATTTAAGTGGGGAGAGGGCACTAGAAACATCAATTGGCCCCTCCTCGCCCCAAACAAGGAAAACAAAACCGTCTTCTGAGCTAAAAATACATATTTAGAAAATCCCCGCGCTCAGGCGGGCGGCGCGTTCCAGCTGCCGGCCTGGCCCAGGGAGTACTTGGCCGCGCAGCCGCCGATTACACCCAGCTCGGCCGGCCGGGATGGCTCCGAGCCGTCTGCCCTGACGTCAGCGGGACTCTGGCCCCGCAGCAGCGAGATAGGCGAGCGGTCCGGGCTCGGGCGCGGCACTAATCGCTCCCAGATGTCCCTAATAGCGGAGATAAAGACGGACGAAGAGCCCAGGAATAAATCTGTAATCAGGGCTCCACCATCTGATCATCAAAGCGGACCCAATGGCTGGAGAGTTTGGAGGGATGTGTGTAGGGGGAAGCGTTTGTGGGGAAAGGTAGGGCGCGCGTTCTTGGATGGGAACCGACTTGGGCAAGGTGGAGCGGCGAGAATAGGGACAAAAGCTTCCAACTTCTGTGCGCACGGAAGTCAGATACTCCGAGCACTTCACCCTCCATTAGCTGCCAGGCCGAAGCCGTTTAGCAGCTACAGGCTCATTAGAAGTGGACAGACTGTTGCAACATTGCGCGGCTGAGTGATAAGGCGGCCCTCTCAGAACTGTCCGGCCCCCGGAAACGTGGGATGGGTTTCCTCTCCTGGAGCGGCCCCTCTCTCCCTCTCCCTTTTGGAAACAGTTAAAAAATACATAGGCGTGCCCTCGCCCCCTATTCCCTACAGCAGCATTTCATTGCCCTGAGATGATTAGGGAGAAGGTTGCTGGGGCTTCCAGCAGGTTTCTTAGCCCCGCTCCTGGGTTTTTCTTTCCGAGAGATCGGAGGGCTCGGGCCGGAGTCCTGCACGTCAGGAAGACTCAGACTCATTAGCGCCCCCTCCTTGTGTGGAGAACTGGATCTTAAGGGCTGGGCCCAATCAAAGAAATGTTTTCCCTCCGGTCAACAGATTCTGAATACGGCAGATAGGCCGTGCCCAGGGTCCAGATTCAGTTCTCTCTGGGGCTCAGCCACAAGCCTCCTTGCAGACCATCTCCCCTGGGAACCCATGAGCCAGCCCGTCTTTTTTGTGACTCAAGCTGCGTGGGTGGGATTCAGGCACAGGGCAAAGCAGAGATGATGTTAAGCAGTTGTGGAAGAGAACACAGTGAGCAGAGTTAGAAACAGGTTTGGTTAAAGTTCCAAGAAGGGAGCTTTTTGTAGACCAGTTCTACAAATGCAATCTTGGGTTTTATAAAAGCATTATTTGTTCTGTTTACTGTTCCTTGCACAAGCAGTCTAGGCTACTGCAACGTGTCCGGGTTCTCTCTGCAAAGCTAGTCTGGGAAGGAGTTCGTAGGCCTCCTTTGGCTCCCGGTGGCTTTGCATTTAGGCTCATTCTCCTCCGCCATACCCCTTCCTGTTATTTCTGCGAGCGTCCAGCGCCCGCTCTCCCCCTACGTAAATAAGAGTAAGAGACCACTAGCTCCGCAATCTTCCCCTGCTGCCGGCAGCAGCCAGCAGTCAGAGGTGAGGGAAGGGAATTGGGCCACCGTCTACCCCGAACTCACACGCACACTTTTTCCAAGGGGCCTTAGGGGTTGGCCTCCCTGCTCCACTGTTGCAGTCATCTCATCGCTGAAGCAAAGGCAAACCAGGCCTCAGGTACCCTCCACCTGAGGACAGCTAGGCTAAGAGGCCCATCGCTGTTAGATGTTCCAGCCCACGGACTGACACACCCGGATTCTGGAGCTTCCCGTACCTCCAGCTCTCAGAGTGAGGTTTCCTTTGTGATTTGGAAGGCAATCAGAATCCCAAGCCCACTGGGAGTTCTCAACCGGAAAAAGCCCCCAAAGCTGCTGTCAGTGCCCGGGCTGAGGACGAAAGTCCTGGCAAGTTGAGAGTTAGACCACAATCTGGAGTTTGCCAGATCCCTTCCCAAGCTGAGAACGGTCTGCATGCGCGCCCACACCCACAATGGCCGATCCCTCGCCTGCTGCTGCAGCAAGGTTATCAGGCTTTCAGCCTGCGCAGCAGTCTGGGACCAAGTCCTGACAGCCAGATCTACCATCAATTTACCTTCCGCCGCCCCAGCTTCCCATTTAGCTTTTAACGTCAAATCCTACATTTTTGTCGGCTCCGGCCTGTCTAGAGTGCTTGTGATTTCGCTGCAGGAGTGATTGCTCTTAACAAAATGGCAGCAACTACATTATCCAAGCAATTAAAACAGGGGCCTTTTAGCCAGTCTGGCAAAGCAGGAGATTGGAAACTTTTTTTTTTTTTTTAACAAAGAAGAATAGTTAAAAGAGGACAAATTGAGTAGAAAAGAAAAGCACAAAAATGCAGGAGAAATGGCTGCTTAACTGCTCAGAACTTGCACGTGCATTGGGAATGCTGGGTGGCTGGGAGCCTCGGGGCGCTGGGATGTTGGTCTGCTGAGGGAAGCGATAATTTGGGGTGTCCCGATGGTTGGTCTTTGGCCAACTGGAATATGCTTCCCGTTAGCAGGTTTGGCTGCTAGAGGTGAGGGGTAGCTGGAACCCTTCTGTGGTGTGGGGTAAATTGAGTCTAATGGGATTCCCAGCAGTTTGGACTGGCAAAGAGCATAGGGTACCAGGTTTGGTGCTGCTGGCGGTGAGGATGAGACTGCCGGCAGGAGGAAGAGGAATCTGGCAGTGCTTGACCTCTGCCAGACTAAGAGCCAGGTGCCTGGAGCACAAGTTAAAAGGCCTGTGTATTAGCAAGGGGCTGCATAGTGACGGTGCACCAGGATCTTTGGGTTCCCTTATGTGGGTGCTTAATAAACCAGAAAAAGTGTTAAACCAGCCCAAGTGCTTGAAGGCCCAGATGGGAAGACCAGCTACCCAAGGCACCCACAGACACACGCGCCTGGTGAAGATAACCTCTTTCTGTTCTTGTTTTTATAACCTTGCAGCTTCCACCGTTTATCCACCCCATCACTTTGGTGGACTTCTTTCACCTCTAGGACCTGGAGTCTTTCTCCTGAGCGGGTAAAATAAAGGAAGCTGGAGGCAAGAAAGGGGAAGCCAGTTCGCCAGACCGACAAGGATTGAGAGAGCAGCAGAAAAGCAGGGCGTGCCTCCCCCCACCTCCCAGTGCTATAAACAAAGGCAAGTGTCAGTAAACACAGCCCCCCCACCCCGCCCACCAGGTCGGCTCTGCGCCGGCTGACCTGTGGGGAGAAAGTTCAGATCGCTTTGGCCGAGTTGTTCTAACCCCGCGCCCTCCTGTTGTCAGCCGCCCCAGAAGTCCGCAAAGCCACTCCCTCATCTCTCCCGGGCACTTGCGAGTTTGCCCCTTCGGGCCTGATCAGCCCATGGTGGGCACCCGGGTCACAGTAGGCACCAGTGAGGCATGGGAGCCCTTGGGATGTCATAGGAGGGTCTGTGGCCATAGGCGAGGTGCAGACACCACGTGGGGATGGGTTCCAGGATGGAAACCCTCTGGCCAGCTTCTCCAACAACAGTCACATACATGGCCTTTCATGAAACAAACCGCTTTTTAATACGCTTTACCTTTCTCCCTGCTCTCTTCCCACCCCTTCCCTCCCCCTCCTCCCCGGTCTGCAGTTAGAACTTTACAACACTTCAGTTTCTCTGATTTCTAGAGCAGAGTCAAGCTCTAGACAAGTCGGGGCGGGGGGCGGGGGGCAGGGGCTTTCTTCTGGGACATTACTGGACTCTGGGACACCAGAACCCCGAGAGGGTGAAAACCTTGGTGGCTGGTAGTAGGGGTAGCTTGCAGCTTGCTCTGGTGTGCTGCTGCCGGGAAGACTTTAGACACCGCACAGTTAATATTGAGTTCCTTGTAGCTCCTTGTAAATCTAACCCACCTCTTGCCCCCCTTTAAATCTGTGGTCTTGTTCACGATTTCTTACTTGACGTAAAATTCCTTGTTACCTAATCATATGGTTTTTTCAAAAGCCCCCCACCATCCTCAGGCCGGCCAGCTCAGAAGAGAATCCACCCAACCTAGACTACAATCAAAACCTTTTTTTTTTCCTTTCCTTTCCTTTTATCCCCCCCCTATTTTAAACCAGACACCCTGGAGTATTTCCTGAGGCTGTAATAATGCCTGAGATTCTTCTTACACCTCCTCCACTGAAAACCTCTCACCAAACACAAATCCAAGCAGGCATCTGACTGATTTCAAGAAAATAAGGACACCTTTCCACCTCCTGAGACAACCGCAGGCCATTCCTTGGCCCAGACACGTGTCCTATAGGGCACTCCCTGGCCTTCTGGGAGCTTGGGGGAAAAGCAAAGGGACAGGACTTAGATCATGCCCAGGTTGATGGCAGGATTTTCACCAAGGACACTTCTCTTAACAGTGCCTCCTTAGCCTCACCCGGACAGGGACCACAGACGTGCTGATTGATCGGAACCACTGACTCTTTCAAATAAAGTTAGAGGCAAGTATGATAATTTAGTTTACTTCTGAATATTTAAATATTATGAAAACAAGTATAACAGCTTTGTTTTCAAAATTCTTTTGAGGTATCAGCCATTAAAAGATTAGGATTTTTGTAAAAAAAACACACAGTGGTTTATTGAATACTTACAATGTTTACACCTTCAATATTAATTAAATTCCACTTAGTTTTAGAGGACGGAAGTGCACAAAACAAGTAGCTATTGGAAACATCTTTGAATAGGGAATGATCACATGAAAGGACAGCACTAGTTACCGACCCCAACGGAAATGTTAGTGGCCCTGTTTTCTGCTTTGAAATAAAACTTTATAATCCCCAGGAATATTTATATCCAAAGGCCAGGAGTTAAAGATACACTTCACATATGCACTAGTGTCTGCTGTCTTTATCTGGAAGGAGCTGGTTAGGTGAGAAGGGGCCACGGTGGTGTCTACACAGCCGACAGGGAACACTCACACACACACAAAATCTACGAGTCGAAGGGATCCCTTACCACGTGGGAGTGTCCTCTTCATATTAAAATATGGAATGCTTTTCTTCAAATATCCACTTTTTTGGAGGGGGAGGTGGGGAACAGATGCCTCAAAGGGGGGCAAAGAGAGGGGGATGGAAATTGCACATAAATAAACCGTATGATCCAAATGCAAGTAGTCCTCAGAGCGGAGCCTAGGGCTTGCCGGGAGTCCTGGGTCTGCATCTGGCACACTGGCCCCTGCTCACTCGCTCTCTCCTCCTCTTCCTCCTCTTCTTCACTGCTTGAGCTCCAGGGCCCAGACGTGCTGCGGCCAGCCTGTCCGGCCTTTGGTTTTCTTGTCATTGTTGCTTACTGTGCTTTTCAAGATTTCGTTCTGCATAGAAGGAAGGCGAGAAGGAGAAAAAAGGAAAGAAAATCAGAGCAGATACCTGGTCCCAAGCCACCCCAGCATTTCCTGGGCCAGAGAAGAGGAAGAGAGGAAGGGAGGACTAGGAAGAGGGTTGACTCCAAGTCCCAGGCCCTGCAGAAAAGTGAGCTAGGGTCTGCAAAGCTCTAGCTACCACCGTGGCCTCCACACTGCAGCACTCAACTACCAGAGTGGCAAGTTTATAAACAATTGCCCACTTTTGAGTCCTTTATAGAGGAGCCCTTTTTTTCCTGACTCCAGATGTAGGGGCTGCAGTGGGGCTGGTGGGCACTAAATGTGCCTTCTGTTTTCAATAGCAATTCCGGATCCATGTTCTAAGAAAAATGGGCCAAAGGCCACTCTGCTCCAGCCAGGGCCTTTCAGCCAGTGGCTTTGGGCTTCCAACTCAGAAGCTCCTCTAAGGCCTGTGAAATTTCTGGTCATTTGGAAGGTCATTTGCTTATGCAGCCATCAAGGGTCAAATGCCCAAAAGGGGACCATCTCAAGAAATGGAATTATTTTTCAGGTGTTCATGGCAATAGCCTGGTGTCCTGAACACTACCATGCTGTGGTCACTTGATAGGAACCTGAGGAAATTTTAAATGGCTCAGTAAAATTTGGGGTTACTCCTAATAACAACAACTGTAGTAATATTTAAATTTTGTCTTGAAATGTAGAGATTTGCTCAAGTAAAACATCACAGCCAAAGAGAAACTTGAGCTGTATTGTGAGGTTCAAAGTACTTATCTAATATTTTCCTTTATGTCTTTTGGGCATAGAAATAAGAGCAATTATAAAACTCTCTTAGGGTTCAGGATCAGTGGCAACCTCATTTTCAGAGGGTGGAATAATTGGAATTGAGAGCTTCTTTCATTAGAAATACCTGAAAGCAAGGTCAAATTGGAGGCTAAATGAAGGCTCCAAAGGGGACAGAATGAGGGGTCCAGGCTAGTTCGACATCAGCCTGGATCAAGAGTTTGGGAAGCTCTTCCTAAGTGCCCAGAGGGACTGTCAGAAGTGCCCAGCCTCTCTCTTAAGACCTCCCCTCCTTCTGCAGAATTCCTCCCGCATCTCTTTCTGCTGGAAACCGTCCCCAGCACGACCTGGTGAGATCAACGCAGCCAAAGAATGCGGGGTGCCACCTCTCAGCCCGACTGGAAAAAAGCCCAGTGCAGCAGCCCCTGAACCCCACACCCCCAACCGCCCTCTGCCCCCGATACTGACCAGCTCCTTCTTCCGTTTCTCCTCTTTCACGTCTGTCTTTTTGATCTCCGCCTTGAAGGCCTCCGCCTCGCCGTTCTGGTCGTCCTTGGCCAGGAGGTCCATGAGGTAGGCGATGTAGCTGGTGGCCAGGCGCAGCGTCTTGATTTTGGAGAGTTTGGTGTCGGCGGGCACGTTGGGAATGCACTCGCGCAGCTCGGCGAAGGCGCTGTTGATGCTCTGAGTCCTGCGCCGCTCCTTGCGGTTGGCGGTGCCCCGGCGCTTCACCGGGCGCGGCCCCCCCAGGCCTGGAGGCCCGGCGCCGGGCGGCACTCCCCCGTAATGGGAGTGGTCCAGGCCGGCGGCGCCGCTGGCATACTCGGGGCTGTAGGACAGGGCCATGCTGTAGTCGGGGGGCGACATCTCGGGGTGGCCGATGAGCCAACCGTGGAAGTAGGGGTTCTCCTCGTGGCTGCAACGGCTGGCGGCGGCGGCGGCGGCAGCGGCGGCGGCGGCGGCGAACGGATAACCCTCATGGTGCACCACGGGGTGGTGGGGAAAGCCCCCTACCAGACTCATGTCGCCCTCCGCGGCCCTCCACGCGCCCCAGCGTGCGCGCAGCCCCACCGCGCCCTCTGCCCGGGACCCCGCTTCGGCGCTCGGCGTCTTCCCCCACCCCCCACCCCCCAGACCCCGGGCGCCCGGGCCCGCGCGGCAGCCGCAGAGGGGGCTGCTGCAGCCCGGGCCCCGGACCCCCGCCTGGCCAGCCGGGCCTGCCTCAGCAGCGCTGCGGACGCCGGCTCCCCATGGGGCGCGGCGAGCTGGTCCCGGCACCGTGCGCCCCTGCCTGCCGCCGCCTTCGCCGCCGGTTCCCGCCTCGCTCGGCAGCCCGCGCGCCGGCTCCTGTCTCCCGGGCTGCTGCTGCGCGGAGGCTGAATCCTCTAGTGCTCATGCAAAGGTGCCCGGGCTGCAGCGAGGCTGCGGCGCGGAGCCCCGGTACTCCGCGCGCGGGCCGCGCTCCTGGCACCGAAGCTAACCTGGAATCCGGGGGCGAGTCCAAGCCGCGGCTGGAGGAGCGGCCCGGCTCTGCGGGGTGGCGGCGGGGTCGGCTTCTCACAGCAAAGCTACCTCCGTGCGACCCTCCCCTTCCCGCCCCTTCCCCTCCCCCACCAGCCCGATCTGGGTTCTTGGACTCTTATTGTTTTAATGAAAAAAAAATTTTTTGGCTGTTGTTTTGGTTCTTGAATGTGAGTTTTAGCTGCAAGTAACGTGTCTTCGCTCCTCTCAGGATCTCTCGGAGGGTTTTCAGAGAGGTCTCAGTGCATCCATGTTCTCAGATCCTCTCCTTTTGGGGCAAGGATGTGGGGCCCTGGAAGCGCCTTGGCGAGCGGAGGCTGCGGCGTGGGCTCCCGGACGGGTCTGCGGGGTGGCCGAAGCAGCTCGCGGGTGTCGGCGGCGGCTCTCCTAAGCTGGACGCCGTGAGGGAGCAAGCGGATTTTCTTAGCCAGATCTCCATGTACAGCTACATCTTTAGGGCCGCTCGGGTTAATATATGTCGTCAGAGGCTCCTCACGCCAATCCCGGGGCGGAGGGGGCGGCGCCTTGAGCTCTCCGCAATAAAACTTTTTGATGTTCGCGTTGCTAATTGCCGAGGTCCTCTTCCAGGATTGGCTGCCCCCTCATAACCATAAGATAATTAAAACGGGGGGGGGGGAGGAGTTTTTAAAAAACTTTTTTTTTTTTTATCATCCAGAGGTTAATGCAAGTGTTTAACAGATGCTTCACTATTAAAATATTTTCCCCCCAACTCGCAAATATTGAAGAATCTTAAACCAGGTATAGTATCATGTGCTTTCTCTTCTGGTTGGGGAAAAAACCAATACCGCAGATACTGCTTTTCCAAGTGTTTTGTAGGTAACAGAGTCAGGAAAATGATCCCAGGCAGACGCGTGCAGTTGAGTGCGGGGCGCCGAGAGCCCAGCGAGGGCGTGGGGACCCCAGAAAGGGGCGGCTGCTGGCGGGCGCGGTCTCCTCGCCGCCGATGAGCCCGGCGCGCCTGGGGAAGGTAGTCCTCTGAGCTGGAACTGGCTGGGAACCCTGCTCGTGGCGGCTCTTTGCTGCTGCACCGCGTTATCTGGCTCAGAGCTTCTGGGGATGGCTCAGGTCACTGTGCCAACTGGTGGAGATCACGGTTGAGAACCCCGGGGCAATCGGTCAAGACGACTGAAAATGCTCTTATTTCTCTCATTCTTCAGGGACATCAACCCCAACGGAGACTTCGGACGATTTCAGTGTGCGGGCACCTCGATTCCCCGAATGTTTGGTGTGGCCGGGATATGTGTGTCCCTGGTTTAACTAGCCTGTTTGGTAAGTAACTGAATATTTTTTACAGCGTGTTCAGAGCTTATTTTCCAGTTTTTATGAACAAACATATAAATATATCTCTGCATTCCTGTCTCTCCCATAAAAGCGGGCATCTGTGGAAAGCAGGTTTAGTTATCGGAGGGGAACCATTAAACACCAGTTTAAGAGGCAGGCCAGGAGGACGACTCGTGGATGTTTAGACTGCTGGCCTTGCTGATCTTGAACGCATTATAACGGAAAGTGGATCTCCACTTGTAAGTCACCAGCCGTGGGACACCCTGGCCAAAGCGCCCCTATGGCTCCAGCTCAAGCCGGTTCCCAAGAGGCGAGCGAGCGGTGGGGTGGTCAGTGGCTACAACTGAAGTCACCCTGGAGATTTGGCCTCAGTGGCAATGAGAGGCTGATGTGTCTATGGGATTCTGTCTGTGCAAGTGTCAGCAGGATCCTCGCAGGCTGTAAATTACAGAGACTCCAAAGCAGAGGGTGCAGAAGGCAGCACAGGCTCATGGGCCTCAGACCTGGCAAGAGTAGCCCAAGGGACAGCCATGACTCCACTTTGGGCATCGCCTTTTGGAGGCAAGACGAGTCGGGCTCCAGACTGCAGGAGGGGCACCACTCAAAGGACTCCTCAAGGGCAGTTCTCTTTTTACCCACCAGTGCTTGCCGCCAGCTCTGTGCTGGTTCAAGCTGGAAAGCCAGGTCAGAGCGAAGGAAGCCTGCCCAACTTGGGGGCTGCGATGGGCTCCTGGCCCAAGCTCCCGCTGTCCCCAGAGCCCTGGGCAGCAGCGTCAGGAAATATATGTATTTTTAGGTTTGCTGCTGCTGTACAGTAAGAGAAAGAAGGGAGCTCATAGACACAGATGTAAAAACCTGGTTTGGGGGACCACGGTGGGGGCGTTCTTCCTCTCCATATCGGGTCAGTTTCCCTGGACACCCCCAGCAGAGCCCTGGAGAACAGGATGGGGAGTAGCTGAAAGGAGGTGCCAGTGAGCATGCCAGGGGCTTGTATAGAAACTCCTAACTTGAGTGGATCTGCTGTTTTGGGCACAAGAAGAGTCTTTTTAAGAATTGCTTCTTCAAAGAAAGGATACAGGTAGTCTAGTCTGGAATTCTGTTTACATTTTTACCAGGAGGCAAGCTGAGTGTATAAATACTGGTAGTTCCATTCTCTGACATTTGATAAGTTTTTAAAAAGTCTGTTTATAAAAACACATTTAGGTCTTGGGAGCAGGTAGACTAAGTAAGGTGGTTGCACCAAGGAATGGATAAAATTTTAGGGAAAGTTGTTTGGCTCCTTTTAGAAACAGAGTTTTGGGGAGTGGAGGGAGGAAGAAGAATTTAGAGGAGAGCTGGCCTGGGGTCTGAGAAGCTGCCCCCTTCAGTTGTAAAGGATTGGAATTTGCCACATTTAGCTTTTTAATCTGAAACAAAAAAAAATGGGTGAATTCATTCATGGCCCCAGGTAACATTACAAGTAATGCAAGAAATAGACAACACAGTACAGAGAAGAGTAGTAAAAGATGCTAATCTGAACGTCAATCCACCTACAGCATCATTATCAGTTAATTACTGTGATCCAGGAAATCTAAAGCATTATGTATCTCAGAATTCAAACACAGAGGCTGGAGCCTTAGAAAGGTGTTCTGTAAGTGGCTTGGAGAAAAGGGACAAATGAGTGAACTCTAGGAATGTCCTCTACTGTAGTAACTGTCTCAGAGAGGCCACCCTGGCCCCGACCACTGGAGCTCCACTCTGAATGCACAACTGAGCACTTCATGTTTTCCTTTCAGTGTCTTTTCAGGACATTTTGCTCTGAGAATCCTGGGGTGCTTTGTTTGTCTGCTGCTTGGGAAAGCTGTGAGGCTCAGAGGCTATCTCAAGTTTGTCCCCAAATGAGATGGGCTGTGTGTATGAGGGTGGTGCTAATGGAGGTAATGGGAGTGTTGGTGATGGAGGAGAGGTGGGTGCTGATGATAAGGGGAAAGCAGGAGGCCGGGCATAGATCTCAATTGGGATATCAGCTTGGGGACCCCTCTCTTGGGTTGTGTTACTGTGGCCTCTAGCGCACTGCTCCTCAAAAAATACATATTCGGAGTTCTCAAAGGGCACAGGGAACTGCAACAAGGCTGACAGGGCAGCCTGGGGTATCCGGGGAGGAATCCTAGCCAGAGACTGCACCTCTTCTTCCAGGCAGAGGGCTGCGCCTCACTGGACCCGGAGACCCTCCTAGCCCAGGTGCAGGGGAGGGGTTATGACTTTGTGTCTAAAGTCTTCCTTGTAGCTGGTAGTGTACCTGTTGGGCTGTGCAGTACAGCTGCGCCAGCCGAACAAACAGGATCCCGTTCAAATATTTATTTCCAGCCCATGTCTCTTGTCTTTGCTTTACTCCTGCCGCTTCCCCTGGAAAATATTCAAAGAGCACGAGAGAGGCTGAGCACTCCCTTGCATACCTTTTGGTCTTGTGAGATATTACTTTTAAAATCAATCTAGTTTAAACTAAATATTTTTTTTAACTTCAGTCTATTTTTAGGGAAAATACAGATCTTTTTGAGGTATTTATTATTTCAAAGGCAAGGGTAATTTTGTATCTTGTGTTTTGTTCATGAGAACTCAAAATAAACTGGACCTGAAATGATCCAGGCCAGAAGGCCATAAACACACATTTTATATTTACAGGAATTATGGCTCAATCTCCTTCATCATCTTTCAAACCTCTTCTTACCTTGTTTTCCTAAAAAAAGCAGTGGAGATGATTTTGAGCATTATCCTAAATTTGTATAAAAAGGAAAACTCCACAAGATGCTAAGAACCCCAGACAGAATATCATGCCCGGAAGGTGACAGAATAAAGCAACGTGTTCTTGCAGATGTACCCTCAGCCCCACCTGTACCAAGGACAGTGCTTCCTGTGACTCTGTGTTTTTTCTCTGCCAGGGTGGGACTGAGTCATTTTACATGTTAGCCACTTGTCCCAGAATGTTTGGGACATCCAGAACAAGGCGTGTTGTCCAAGTGGCGGCAAGGATGGCCTTCTGTGATCTTGCATTTCCTCCCTTTTTTGTTTTCCTTTTGGGAAATAGTTGTTTACAGACAGGACAAGTGATAATAGTTCAAAGTACACATCTACAAAGTAGAATAGAGTTCGATAGACTTTTATGTCTATTTCAAAAATGAAGAGCATGAAAAGCTGTCCTTGACTTTTATGTGGTTTAATTTCTTCTTAGCAATTTCTTCTTGGATTTGCTGTGGGGCAGGGTTTTGGGAAGAGGGCCATCTTCCCTAGGGTTCCCCACCCGGAGCAGACCTGGGGAGATGGATGGAGGAGGGGCTGGTCCAGCTACAGGGATGACTGTGGAAGGGTTGATTGCTCTTAGGAATCCTTCAGTCCAGTTCTGTTAGGAAATATGTCAGTAGAGAAAATCAGGACCTGCAAAATGCCTGTACATTTTCCTCTTCTTTTCCCTGCTCCTTTCTTCTCTCCTCTCTCCCTTTGCTTCTTCCTTCCTTCCCTTGTAATTTGCTTTTCATCAATGTTTTGATTTACAAGTGGGTTTTTTTTTTCTTGTCACTGAACCTGTGACTGGTGTGAAAGAATGACCTACTGGTTTATTCCTAAATCCTTTAAGAAAATCTTGATATTCAGTACTACAAGCTGTAGAATTTCCATTTTCTCCAAATAATCTATGACTAAGTTGCCATGTTAACTGGTAGATGTGTAACTGTGCTGGAGAGTTTTCATTGATATAAAAGGACTAAATACTTTGATAGGTACTCAAGTCTGTAAAACTGAAATACTCATTCAGACTAAAGGCAACATATGATAATGCCATAAAAGGGCCTCACAAAAAGTAGCATACTGTATATACACAGGAGTTGTTTTTAGTTTTATCATACTAGTCCTAAGAGGAATGGTAAATCTGATCTTTGTTAATCTTTGCTACTTTGTAGTAAATATAGAGTTTTAAGCAAAAATGGCATAAAATACACCCTACAGAATTTGTGTTAAATATTCATCCACATTATTGTTTTAAGCAAATTATATACACAGATATTTTCAAGGCCAGAGGCATGGCTTAGTGCTACAACATGTGCCTCACATGTTCATGGGCCTGGGTTTCATTTGTCAGCATTGCTAAAAAGAAAAATAAATAATGAATAATGAATAAATATTAGAAAAGAAATATTTCTTATAAAGCAGAAGGAGATCAGTCAGAATTCAAAAGAGGAAATAAATGTTATAGTGCGTATTTTGCTCTATGGAATGAGTAGGTAATGGACTTCAGTATAAGCACGCAATGTAGTCAGGGGTTCAGAACAAAATATGAATGGAAATGGCAACTTAAAATGTGGGGCTTTGGAGAAACTATTTATGTGACTGAAAGATTTGCTGGTGACTTGAGGCCCCAGCGCATTGCCATTTCGAACTTTGATGTTGCTCACATTCCTGGGAAATCCTGTTCTGTAGCTTCCTTTGCAAATTTACATGGATGGATTTCTTTAGCTCTGACTGTTCCTTCCAAACCTTTTTTACATTCTTCTAGGGTCTTTGCTTATAGACAAGGGACTTAAGCCAGGGTGGTTAGGTTTCAGGTTAACAAAAAGAAACACTTTTATTGTCAATATTAATGGCAAACCTCGATTTTTACAAGGCTTGGGTTTAGCAGCATGAGCAGATCAAAAGCAGCTTAGCTTCATTTCTCAATATTCTCTGGAGCTTAGACAATTAACTGCAATTTCGCTCCTAAAGAAAGAACGAAAAAAGTTAGTTACAGAAATGTTAAGGTTAGTCTTTTGGCAGAGTTTTTTTTTTTTTTTTTTTTTTTTACCTGGGTACAAGATCTCTGAAGCTATTAAATTTATCCACTCAACTCGAATTGAGTTTTGAAGGAAAATTCCTTAAGAAAATGCGTGTGCGCGGAGTACCCTCATTTGCAATGCCATGAGGCAGTTTCGGCGTGTGCATTCCATGCTAGCCTTTCTGGCTGGGTAAGGATCCGGCAGACTGAGGCCTCCCTGGTAATTTGGGTACACCGAGTCTCCAGTTAATGATAGATAATCAGCCTTTGGGTCATTCGGTCATTCTCTTATTACAAACCCCTCCTGCTCTCTCTGATCTCCTTTCAAACTAAATTTCACACAAACAAATAAAGCAAGACAGGGACAAGTTCTTAAAAAAAGAGAGAGAGAAATATTAGAAACTTCTGATACAGAACTCTAAACAAGGAAAGGCAAGCTAAAAGAGGATAGGAAAGAACATCTTATCAAAATGAACATGTTGTGTACAAAACATTAAAAGAAAAGACTCTGGTTTTTGTTAAAGTGACAGAAAATTAAAATAAAAATAATTGCAGGCAGAAAAGTTATAATATAAACAGAGAAGGCAGGATGCTTGTTGGAAATGCGCAGCACTAGCAAGCTAATTTGTTGTTACAGATTATATATCTGTACTGTGATTGAAGAAGCACTACTTTGTTCCACTTTCCATAAGAGAATGGTTTTCTTTTTTAATGCAGTGTGAGTGCCCATTTAAGTTAACACAGGCCAAAACCTCGAGGAACAAAAAGTGGAGTTGCAATCTGCTTGCAAAGCATCCAATTTCAAACGAAGAAATTGGTTGCATACAGAAAAAGCAGAATTCCATTTCGAATACATTTGGAGACTTCACTAAATGGGTGTGACTGATGCTTTTTTTTTCTTTTTTTTTTGCTGACAGAAGGCACAGTTCATTCTTAGGAAAGTACAACTGAAACCAGTCTTCCCCATCCTCCTGGAGGTCTTCACTTTCCCGGTCTACATCAGCTTGTGACTTCGGAAAGAAACTTCACAGGGGCCAAGGTACTTCTCAGTTCAGATCCTCCTGGGAAAAGCGCGGGAATGTGGGGCTCTAGTAGTTAGGACCGCTGGTGAGAGCGCCCCTAGTGTCATTTTCCACTCCCTGCTCCTAGCAGGTCTGTTGGGCCTGCTTGCAGTACAAAGGCTCCAGAAAGGTCAAAACATTACCACTAGTGTTGCCTCCAAGCCTTAGGTTTTCAATCCTAAAAGGGATAGGAGTTTTGGCTTGATCAACCTGCAGTTAGAGATGGCAACAAGTGGTGAAAGTGTGACTCCTGCATTATTCCCAGTTGTGGGTCTGGCATTCCTTAATTTGCAAGTATCCCTGGCAAACAACCCAGAGTGCTCCCTCTCTCGTATTGCGTGGGAGAATTCACACCTTTTTTTGTTGCTTCTAGGCCCAAGTGAAATGCCCAAGGAAGCCTTTCTAGGTTATCAGTACCCCCTTGCTCCCCCAAATCTAGTTCTGCTTATGAACTCCTTTCTGGTGTTCTCACTAGTATTCCCTTTGTAGTCCTCCCTCCTTCAACTGTGGATTCCTTGACATCCCAGTTAATGAACTGCAGCAAAAAGAGATACTTAGCCTGTGGAAAAGAGATATAGAGAAATGTAGTGCAGTAGTGCAGTCTGATTGATTTTCCTTTATTTTGAAAGTGACTAGAGCTGGTAGAGGGGTTTGAAGTGGTTTACTCGGGTTTAGACCTTCATCTCCAAGCCTTTGGAAGAACTGGGAAAAGATTCTTCCTGATCAGGTGGGCCTGCAGCAGGCCTAGTCCAGGCTGGCCCAACTGATACCGGTGCTCAGCATCCTGAGCTCCAGAGTCAGAGCTGGGCAGGGCTTCCCTGCCCTTCACAGACTGGCTGCAAGATCTGGTTCAGCTCTCTAAACCTTAGTTTCCCTCCTCGAACAGTAGGGATGACTGCACAGCCCTTGGGGTGCATGCGCTAGGTGAAAGGGACCAAGGCACTCTCCAGTGAGTCACCCAATACACAGGCTGCCCTAAATATTCATGCATTTTTCTCTCCCTGCCTTTTCGGGGTTTTCTCTCTCTTCCAGTTGTCTGAAGACCGGCCAGCCTCACAGCGATGGGTACCAGCTCGACCAAGTGTACCTTTCCCGCGCCACCGATCCAGGGGCATCTCCTGTCGCCAACTCCTCCATCCAGCCTTGGTCCCTCGAGCCCCGCAGAACTGCGGCTTGGCGGCCATCGTCGGGGCTCGGGCCTCGAAGGGCGCAGGGCGCTGGGCAGCGGGGCGCGCGACGGCGGGGCAGCAGCACAGGAATGCTGGGGGGACGAGGCGCGGCCAGAGCCACCACCCCGATTTAAACCGCGCTCCCCCGCCCCTGGCATCCTGGTTCAATTCCCACTTTGATCTCCAACCCTCTGTGGATTCCCAGCAACCCAGAGCCAATTCTGGGCCGCTCCAGCGGGGCGAGGTCGTTGCTCCAGGAAGGTTGGACCCTCAGTCTCCCCCGAGCGAGCGTCTGTGGGGATTTTTCTTCGCTCGAGGAGGGCAGGAAGGGGTTAAACGCGCCTCTCTCCCACCCTTATTTTCAAGCCCCTGGCGCTGGGCGAAGGCCACCGTTTCCCTCGTGGGATCTCATTAGGGAAACCCTCACCGCTATTTTCAACATTTCCTCAATCAAGTGTCTTTAAATAGAGCTGCACAAACAAATTGGCGGCAAGAGCGTAGCTCTTGTCACGATGGAGACCAATCCAATATTTCAGTCTTGTTTGCTTTGCAATTACGGGTTGGCTTGTGGCTGCGGTGCCACCGGGGCAGATCTGCAACGGTCCGCCTGCTGCTCTGCACCCGGGGCGGTGCGGGAAGCGACCGGCGGAGCCCTGCGGCAGAGGGGTGGGGGGTGGGGGGTGGCCCGGGAGAGGTGGCGCCGGGGCCGGCGCGGGAGAGGAGGCCTTTCTTTCCCAAGCTTCACGCCAGGGCCGCGCAGGGCGGTGCCGAGGGAGACAGACTTCAGGTTCCAGAGCGAGCCACTGAGGTTCACAGGATAATAAAGAGCATGATTCACATTTGGAAAACAGCCGTGTGTCCTTACCAGCTTCCTTTGTGTCCCGCGCCCCCTTCCCCTCTCCTGCCTTCGGTGCATTTTTATTCAGTCTGTGTTAGCGGTTACTACATTTCCCTTTCTCACTTGCTGTTAAACTGCTAGCATGATTTGTTATATTTTCCATAGCTGCTTATTCTTGTTTGACTTTTTGTAGAAAGTCTCTTTAAATCTGCTGCAGAACTCAATCCCAAGTCCTTTGGATAGGCTCCTGCGCGCATGTGGCTGCCTCCAGTCTACTTTGAATTCTTTCAGGGAAGCTCTTCTGTGTAAATCAGCCTCTTGGTGCCTTGCTCACCGCCCAGACGAGCCTAGTTTGTATCAGCAGAACAGTAGTCAACTCAAATCAGGTCCTAAGCCTTGTATTTCACAGACAATTAAATCTTGGCTGCTGTTGAACAAAATTGTAATATTTACTCTGCTCTCTACATGAGGAGCACTTTTAAAGTAAAAAGCAAATACTACATTTCAAAAAGAAAATATGATAATAAATCTCTTTTTATGGATTCTCTCTACATAAGTGGAAAGAACATGATTTAAGTCTTCACCAACTCTGCCCGCATTTTCAAGCACAGCTGGTTATAAGATACTGTTTTTTAACATGGTCTCTATCTTTTTGGGGAGACACCTGCATTGTTACATTCATTTAAGTTCCAAGGTTTCACATCCCACCCTGATCCATATAATATATAACAAGGATTATTAAATCATAAGGACTTGGATGTGAAGTCTACTTCTTACATGGACTAAGAAAGATGGGTGTGACTTGGGTAATTATTTTGTGATACCATATTACTTTCTAAATGAAAACCCGTTTTCCTTTCATGTCTACTTCTGAAGGAGGTGGGCAGAGAAAGATCTTGGTGAGAAAAGCTTTGGAGAGCATAATAAAATGTGCTTCTTTATTCTTCAAGAATGTGTAAGGTACAGACCTACATTTGTCTGTTCATGGTCATATATTTAATTCATAGCCATCCTGGCCAAGAAGCAATTTCTTTCATACCTAAAACTATTTTGGTTTATAATCCCATTTGAATTACATCTTCACTGTTCTGTATCATCCTCCTGTTGTAATATTTTGTTTTTCTTATTTAAAGCAAATCTCAGTGTCATTTATAATGACTTCATAAAATTGTGCAACAACAAAGCCATAGAATATTTGAGGTCTACATAGTCATTGTGTATATCTCTATAATTTTCTGGCCAACTGTTTGCTTAGTATTTCAAGAAATAGGAAGCGGTAGCTAGAAAGGGAACTATTTTATAAGAATTCTCTTCTTAGCAAGAGAATTGGTCTGGAATATGATTCAGCACACAAATTATACTATTACTTTCACATGTGTTAATCTATTTAGTATTAAAACTAGTCGAATGCCTTAACCATTCACATGTCTTGCCATACTACTTTCAAATGGGTGATCTCAGATAATTATGAAGATGTTGATGTTAATCCTATATTAAGTGAACAACTATGAAAATGACCTTAAGCATTATTATTCTCATCTAAATACCAACAAACACAATTGTACAGGGAACACACTTACTTTTTATCTGACATTATCCTGTAAGGATATGACTACATTCATTTCTTTTAAAATCAGAGCAGTTTTAAATTACTTTTGTTGGAGATTTTTGTTGTTGTTGTTGTTGGTTTTTTGAACAGGGTCTTGTTATGTAGTTAGGCTGACTTTGAACTTACTATGTAGCCCAGGCTGCCCTCAAAGATGAAGTGATCCTCCTGCCTCAGCTTCCCAAGGGCTAGGATTATAGGCATGTGCCACCATGCCTGGATTTTCAATTACTTTTTAATAGAAATTTTGTTTAGCACAGCATTTTGCAATACCCATACACCACTGTAAGTTGATACTGACAGATATGTGTATTTCTGCATTATTATTCATTAGCTTTTTTGCAAACCCATCAAAACATAATAATATTTTAAAAATCAACCTATAAAGAATAATTATTAAGTTCTACACATTTATTTAGGTAAACCAATGTATTAAAAATTAAAAACATGTGCCTGGCATATAAATGCTTCTTTAGGAATTCTTTTTTGGATACACAGTTACTGTTTTTTAAACCAACTTAGATTTTCAAATACTGAGTTTTCACTCTGAACAGGCATTGCATTGTTTTAAACAGTAGCTCCTGGAACCACATCATCCTCAGTATTTTAAACTTTCAAACAATTGGAATTGGATAAATGTTTTCAGCTGGGGCCACTTTCCTAATACCTTTGTAGGAGATAGTTTTCTCTATTTGTGCTGGGTGACAGACAGTAACCTGGACAGACTGCAAACCTTTTCACAATCTACAAGAAAATGGAGTTTTTTTCCTATGAAATTTCTTACAATTCATCTACAAATTCATTTTAAAGTGTGAAATCCGAGAAAATTGTGCTTTTTGAACTTGAGACATGAAATGATGGCTTAAAAAGGTATATAAAAATAATACAGGAAGAAGACAGAAACACAAAATCTGAACAAGAAAATTTGCACAAGCAGGACCTGACTCTTTGTTTATAAATAGGAATGTGAGGAGTGTGGATCCACATAAGTCAATAGATTGTTTTCTTTAATTCAATGATTTTTAAAAATATTTTCCTCTGGATGAAGAAACCTAACCAAGAAAATATATCCAAATTTGTGTATATGAGAGAATACTAGCTTATTGTGATTTTTAATATTAGATTAAAATATCTTTATGATCCCGTTATTCTTTCTAAACAAATGCATGATGCAACAATTAGTGTGAAAAAGCACTGATTTTTTTTTTCAAATGTGGGTTAAACTGGAATAATAAAGTGTATTCATGAAATGACTTCCATAAACTCCAACTTTCTGAGAAAAAAGTGAAAAAGCCTTTTTTGGATGAAACTAGGCAACTTAACTATTATTAATCTGGGATAAATAAAGCAGGAAACTGCTTCCGAACATTTGTAGTAAATCTTTCATCTTTTCCAAACATTGTTAGGTTCTAGGCATCTTATGCTATTCAAGTAAAGATGATGTCAGTAATCAAATTACAGAATCTAATCAAGTGACTATTTTTGCTTTATTATAAAGTTTATGTATTATATTGAGCTGTTGAATTGCTTAGTTGTTTTAATGCTGAATTTTTCTTTTTTGAGTTAGAGTGGTAGTTAATGAAGTGCTTATAAAGATAAATATGATGGTTTATCAAAGATAAAATAGCTGCAGTAACGAAGTAACATTTGAGTCTGTGCAGTGTGGGCTGTGCTTTGTAAAATTATACTACTTCTAAAATCATGTCCTAAGTGTTTATAATGGGGACATCTGAGAAGAGAAACTCGAGTCCTCCATTTGCACAGCCAAGAACACACAGTCATGTAAGGGAATTTGCCCTCAGAAGCATTTTTCTATAGAGTTTGCCAATTTTTTTCCCCTCCAATACTTCTACTTGCTGTATTATTATTATTATTATTATTTTTGTACTGGGGATCGAACTCTGGACCTTTTACTTATGAGGCAGGTGCAGTGCCACTGAGCTAAATACCTGGCCCTACTTGTATTTTACTAGAAAGCTACAGAATTAGGAGTGGATGCTACAACTCACTGGGCTTTTCTCTGCCTAAACACACAGTATTACATGGCATTATTTATTATAGCTAAAGTACTGATTAAAAGGTCCTTCCAGCTGTTTCTGTGTTAACTATATGAAATGTCTGGATCAACAGTCATCTTCTTGTTGCTTTGGACATTAGCTGACTTATTTCAGATACACTGAGCAAATAGTATGCATTTTGTTGTGTTGTTATTTATGATCTGCTTAGTGTCAAAAAGAATTTACAGCAGTGGTTTCAAGAATTGGTAAGATGAATTTTTCCAAATCTGTTTGTAAGAATCATTCCTGTCAACACAATTGTAATTTACTTTTGATGTTTAGTACAAGATCAGCGATTTGTTCTGGTAAATATGCTTGTTTCAAGAGAAAACAGGGTTATAAATTAGAATGCAACAAATTTTTAAAAGTAGTTTTATTGCAGAGAAATCTTAATGACATTCCATAAAACTATGATTTTGCATGTAAAGAAGCATAACACTGTGATTAAGAGCAGGGTCCTGGGAGTTAGAGGTGCGCTTTTGCATCCCGACTGTAGCAGTTACTAGCTGTGTGATCTTGGGAAAATGATTTAGCCATTCCCTGCTTCAGTTACCACATCCATGAAAGGTGGATAAATACTTGCAGTTTCTATCACACTGTCACAAGGAACATTTTGTGAGATGAACTCACACAAGACTCTTATAGAGGGTCTGGTATGTAGTAAGTACCTCATAAATGTCAGCCATTTGCTTTCGTACAGCTCTACAGTGTGAAAGAGTGGTATCCCTCAGCTACCTTACTCAGAGCCACTATGTGTGAGAATGTTGACAGCCCATGGACTTCATGAGCTTTGTATGAGGAAGCTGCATTGGCCTCCAGCCCTCAGGTTAACAGGGTGATGGCAAACTTCTGTGTCTTTAGAGGCTTAAGAAAGACATGGGGAGATGCTCTTAGTGACAGCAACCCATCAGTGGTCCATGAAATCCAGCTTTCTGCCATCTTCGTCTGCCATATGGTCAATTGGTACATGACATGAAGGTCTAGACTGGGGAAAATAACACCTTGAAGAAATGAAATACAGTGGTACCTGTCGAACAAATTCTGTGACCAGAATCGTGGAAAGAATGAAGTTCATGAACCGAGGTACCATTGTACCCTCTGCCAATGGTTTCCCCACTTTTTACCTCAAACCCAGAGGTAAAACACTTTAAGTATATTTCTTTGCAAATTATGATCCTGTGCTCCTTTAGTGATATATTATGTATATTATAAACTCATGCCAAATAATAAACTAATGAAAGGTAAAACAAACAATTAGACAGTAGGTTTAAATATTTTAAAGTGATATTCAGCGTCATCAGCAGTGGGTACAAACCCACATTTCACATTGTCTTGGCCATTTAAAAT